CTTTCTTTCTTTCTTTCTTTCTTTCTTTCTTTCTTTCTTTCTTTCTTCCTTCCTTCCTTCCTTCCTCCCTCCCTCCCTCCCTCCCTCCCTCCCTCCCTCTTGATGTAGCAGGTTAGTATAGCCTTTTAAACACTAATAAATAAATTGAACAGCTACAACTTATTCATACTTATCAGCCATATTGTTTATTTGCTGCTAAGGAGGAACATATACGTCATCAAGATCGTTCCAGTTGACTAAATCCTTCTTAATGTTGTACTTACCTTGGCATGAAGAATTAGCCCTTTGATTTCATTGGAGGCTGTTTTTCAATTTGCTTCTGAAATTACTTTAAAGGGTGCCCAATGTGGGTGGCTGCATTCATTAAAGTATTTTACTGGGTTATTTTCACTGCAAACTGAACTGAAAGACCACCTGCATGGTTTCTTTCATTGGACTTTCCAGCTGTCTGACCAGAAGAATCTTCAGGCCTGGCCTGAATTCAAATCAAGCCCCCAAAATAAAAGAACATTAAATCATTAAATTGACATTGAATTAAAACGTTCTCTTTTTGCTGATCTAACTAATATTGTGGCCACATGATAAATGGATTAATTGTTTGCTGCTATATAGAGCAAAATAAGGTTGGTTAAATGGTGTGGGACATGTTTCCCCATGTAGTTGCATGAGTTTTACTCCAGTTTAGGCCTGCTGACATGGATGTATTTACAAGATGACTACAAATATTTAGATTCTGCTTGTGCTACTTCTTTAATTAAGCAATTGCTGGAATCACATATGGGACTGTGTCATGATTAGTTTGAAGTATGACTTGTTCAATTAGTCACAAGATCTAGGTTCACACAACATGTTAAATCAATTGCAAATCAATTGCATCTGTCTTAGCGCAGTGCTTGAGCCGCAGTGCATGTCACAGTTATCAACTTCCTAAACCATTTATGATAACTAGAGGTTGGGTTAACAGGCTGTAATTAGGGCTGTACTCTTCTGAGCTTCATGGAGTGGGGAATTCTACCAAACACAATTTCTTCTGTCACCACAGCTTCAGATGAAAAGAACTGGGCCTGGAGAAATTCACTATTGGAACTTTGCCAGAGTTAAGATTTGGCAACCTTGCAGAAGGAGTGTGTGCATCATGAATTAAGGTGGTCAGAATCTAAGCATTTTTATTTTCAGGAAAAGGGTTTGAGGTTTCAGTGTATGGATTTGATTTTCAGGCCTTGCAAAATACACATTTTTCCAAATTGAATCACTAAAGCACAACTATGGATATCTCTTCTCCCTCTTTCCACCCAAATATTTCTCAAAACTTGGAGTTTTATTCTCTGTTAGGTGTCTGAGCACAGCAGAACACAGGAAAAAAAAGTTTTATGAAGGTGGACCATTCAGGGTCACAAGTGCACATCCTTGTGACAGGCCAGGGAGGCAAGGCAAGCCACATGAAAATGGCAGCCCTCTTCCCATTGATCCCATTAAGCAAGCAACAGAGGGAGCCAGAGGATCAAAACAAGGAGAATTCTGTTCTGTGTATGGTTCTATTCTAAATGAGTTTTTATTCCCCCAGAAAGATTAGGTGTATAGCTTGAGGATATTCCCAAAGCCATCAACTGTCTATTTCTTCATCCAGGCCTTCCCTCTGTGGTGTTGCATAAATAGTTCCCCCTCTATTTTTTAAATAATTATCAGATCTCATACAAGATTATACATTTTTCATTAGATTATACAATTCAATTTCTTTAATTTTGAACTGCTTTGAGACATAAGGGGGTAACAATAAGATGGCAGGCTGTCACTTTTTCTAGCAAGTACTTTTACACAATGATAAAGAGATAAAGATTTTGGTGGCTTCATTTACTTCCCTTTTATGCCTGACCTGCTTATGACTTGAAAATGTACAAGCGTATAGTAGACATGGAAAAATGAACAGAATTTATGCAAATCTCCCAGAAAGCTTTGTGCTGGGAAAAAGCAAGTAATCATAAACTGCTCATGTGTAGAAAGGAATTGTTTTTCAGCTTTAATTTCTCTTCTTTGGTTTATGGTTACAGTATTCTTTAGCTCTTATATGGAAAAAATTACAAGGCCCTCTGGGGAGAGAATGAGAACATTGATAAAATTGATAATTGATGTAAGCTTCCATGAGCCAGAATGGTAAATTATAAATTAAATATATAAAATAGCCTCTGTTCCGGTAAATTAATACATAGTATCATAAATTATAAATAAGAGCTTTGGTTTAATCTTGGGCCATTAATCATAAATAAGTTTAAATCTTGGCTGTCTGTTTTCAATTTCTTTGCTGCCTTTGAAAATACTTTTATATTATTACCTGTGATGCATTCTGTACTTAATATAAATCTAAGATCGCTTATGTTGCCCCAATTGAATTTAACCAAAAGGAAGATGACTCTGAATTTATTACTATTCCTCATACTCCCAAGAAGTGTATTTAAAAGCAACCCGTATGAATGTGTGGATGTGTTACAAGAAACTACATACCAAAAAGGCAGAAAGTTTAATTAATTACTATTTAATTATATGCAGAATGAGATACCCATTTATAAAATTAATTGATCCACATATGCACAACCAACTTTTCTCTCTCACACACAATCTACTCTTGGACACGCAAACACAGAAATGCCCACATAGACCTTATCCAGCTAGCAAGCAAGCAAGAAAACTGAATAGAACAGAGAGGAGCAATGAAATGGTTGTTGCATTTGCAGTAGGCAAGTAAAAACAGGAAGATGGAAATGAGGCAAGAGAAAGAAGTAACTGGGCAAGAATGCAAAGATAAGAGAGAGAAGCCCTGTTGAAACCCCTCCTTTCCTATTGGGACCCAGGATAACTAGGCTGATAGGAGAGCAACATTGGAAACTGTTCCATTAGCTCAATTCCATTGGCACTAACTGGCTCTCAAAGGTTTCAGAGAAAGTTATTTTTGCTCAGTCCAGAAATATTGGAGAATGAATTTAGGATTATGTTAAAGAAAAAAACACCTAGGCTACTGTAGTCCTTCCTTGACTCTCTTTGTTGAGTTTCTTCCTGCGGTTTTGTCCTTTGTATCAGCTCTTCTTCTTTCTTGACAATTCACACCACTATCTGCTGTGGGCTTTCATGGTTGGCCTCAATTCACACCATTTGTTCTGATATCTTTTTTGATTTCTTCTGTTTCTTGGTCTTTGGCAGTTGCATTGACCACCAGGAGGCAGACAGGACATGACTCTGTTTTTTTTGGAAGTTTCTACATTTATCCTTAACAAATTATTTGATTTGATTTTGCAGTTCCTCGAATTCCCTACCTACGAAGTTCAGGATTTCAAAGTGATTTCTAGTATTCTCTTTAAAAATGATGGGTGTATGCTGCAGATCTTATTGTGGAAACTAGTTGCCTTTGTTCTTCTACTGTATTTGTCATGGAATTCACACATGAGCAGATTGTAATCTATTCTACAGTTGGCCTCTAGTTTTCCTTAGTAGCATGCTAAGTGTCACCTGACTTGAGGGGACTCATCACCCCCCCCCCAGCACTTTATAATGTCTACCCTTGTATGTGATAAAATATAGGAATGGTTTACAATTGTCTTATGCTGTGCAGGATGAATTGATGTC